CAAAGCTCACAGCAACCTCCAACTCCTGGGCTCAAGCGAGTCTCCTGCCTCAGCCTCCCAAGTAGCTGGGATCACAGGCGCCTGCCACAACGCCCAGCTATTTTTTGGTTGCAGCCGTTGTCGTATTTGGTGGGCCCAGGCTGGATTCGAACCCGCCACCTTAGGTGTATGTGGCTGGCGCCTTATGAAAATTATATCTTAAGACCTACAAAAGCTTCTAGCATTATGCCTGGTCTTCCCTCTTTTTGTCTCGTTACCTAAGGGTTTGCCTCCCTCTCTTTAACGCAGACCTCTTTACAGTGTCATATTCACATGGCGCTGCCCTTAGCAAGTCTCCAGCTGGAGTAAACTAGCAGTGATGGCACTCGGAGGCTGGCTCACCTGCTCGCTCCATCCCCTCACAGCAAGTTTCACCTGCTCTCTCCATACCCTCACAGCGAGCTGCAGTGCCTCTACCCTCCAGCCCTTGTTCTTCACAAGTCCTTTTGTTGTAGTCACAGCTGTGCTGTCTCTTGCTAGATCCTTCTCTCTGAAATTTCCAAAGTTCTGCCTCTGTTTTTCAGCCAGCTGATGTATCACCTGCAGGATGAGAGAGCACCCATGTATTTGGTTAGTTGTTAGACCCTTGTAGCTGTTGTCACCCCCCATGCAGACTCCTGCTCATAACGTGTAAAAAGGAAGCTTCAGGACTTCCCCTAGCGCGTACCTTCTGTAGTCAAATTCACTTAAATTCAGGGAATCCATTAACTGAAGGAGCTAAGCTTGGGGTCAGAAGACGGGGGTTTCGGGTTCTAGTTACTCAACTTCTTCCTCTTATAATTTTGGTATATTATTTAATCTTTTCTGTGAAGTAGTGGGGATACTAATACCCAACTCACAAGGTGTTTTGATGCTTAAACAAGAGTATGCAGTTTATTACCCGGCAGGTGCTTTGTAAACTTGGAGGAGTCCAGAGCTAAATCTCACTCTGTTCCTGGAAAAGATGGAAGCCAGGGCCTCTGACCAGCAGGAGGTCCCCTCCCTGGTGACGCATGTTGGATGACAGGGCCGTGTGTTCCTGTGTAGTTTGATACACTGTCTTCACTAGTTCCCTTGAAATCCCCTGACCCTGACATGACGCCCATGTTCACATGTCAGTAGACAAATGCTCCCAAAGCCAAATACTGTCTTTCTCTTCCTTTAGCCTGGGAGCTCATTATTTAGAATATAATTGTGATTTCTCTTAAACCGGGATTGTTGATAGAAGACCGTAGTTCTGATCAGAGTACACAGGTCAGCAGCTGATGCCACTGGTTCAGGGGCAGCCACAAACTGTTTACCCTCCTGAGACTTGTCTGCTCCTCCTTCCGGTGCAGCAGGTGGCATCACACCCCACACTGGTAACAAAAGAGCAGCTAAGCAAACTGTCACATTCTGAGGGGCAGCCATTTATAAACTTCCTAGCCCGGCTGGAGGGAAGTTGGACTGCTGAGAACTCTGGTGTGAGCTAGGTAGGCGAGGAAGGGGGCAGTGATTAGACAGAGAGATAAGAAGGAGCTGGACAGAGATGGACCTGAGAAGCCGTGTGAAGGAGGCAGAGGGAAGCCACTGTAGGGTCTTAGAGAGACCCCTGTGGCTGGGGCTAGAGAAACTGCAGGGAGAGAAGGCTGCTGCTCACTCGGGAGACCACTTAGATGCCGTCAGCCAGGTGAGGAATTACAGCAGCTTGACTCGGGTCATTGCAGTACAGCATGTTGAGAAGGAAACAGTGGGTCTTAGGGACGCAGGGTATGGAAAGTGAAGGGGAGGAGGAGTCAGAACTCAGGCCTAGGTTTCTAGCTTGGGAAGCAGTGGAACCATTCCCGGCGGGGGGTGGGGGGGTGGGGGGTTTGAGGATGATGAGTTTAGTTTTTGA